ACTCCCAATCCAGACTTGCAATCCACAACCTTAAGTCATATCTTATTTTCAATTATTTTTTTTTCTTCCTGATTTCAAGAACACAGTCTCAAAAATCTATGAAACCCCAGCAAAAGCTGTACTCTGAGGAAAATGTATAGCCTTAAGTGCTTCTATTATTTAAAAAATATGAGAGAAAGAAAAGGAACCTAGGATGCATTCTAAAAATTAAAGATACAAACTGAAATGATTGAAATAGAAAACAAACTTGGTGGAAAGAATACATCCAAAAGCAGAGACTAAAAAAAAAATTGAGGTACAGTTAAAAAGGGAAAAGAAAAAAAAACCCTCCAATTTATATAAAATCTAAAAGTACGCTGGCTTCATTAATATTAAAACTGGATGGTTTTTAAACTATTACAAAAGAAAACCCGTTGCTGTCGAGTAGATTCTGACTTAGTGATCCTATAGGACAGAGTAGGACTGTCCAATAGGGTTTCCTAGGCTGTAATCTTTACGGAAGCAGACTGCCGCATCTTTCTCCCACAGAGGGGCTGGTGGGTTCAAACTGCTGACCGTTCACTTAACAGCTGAGTGCTTTAACCACTGCACCACCAGAGATCCTTTTTTAAACTGTAAACCATATTTCTAAATATACATGCAAAATCTCTAAATAAAATATCAAGTAGAATGCACCAATGAATTACACTATGACCAAGGGGGCTTATTCCAGGAGCACAAAGCTGGTTTAATAGCAGAGAATCTATCAACATAATTCATTACATTAACAAAGAAGAAAAATTGTATGATCATAATCAATAGATGCTGAAAGGAATTTGATTAAATTTCAGCAGCCCTTCCTTAGAAAAAATAATGATTAAAACAGTAATAGGCTGTTAATGGAATACCAATAAGTCAATGTTATCCTAAATGGTAAAACACTGATACTTTCAATTAAAATCAAGAACTAGTCAGGGATGTCTATCACACTTAATGGTTTTAATGCAAGAGGAAAAAAAAAAGTTAAAATTTCTTTTTTTGCTTACCATATGATTATGTACCTAAAATACAGATTTATGGAATTAAGAGAATTTGTAAGCTGGATGAGTAGTAGTAATAAACGTGGAAATATTAATTTTATTTTCTAGCAAAAGCACTGAGAAAAGTGAATGAAAAAATATTCCATTTGCAATAATGACAAAAGCAACAAAATATTTAGGACTAAACTTAATAAGAATGGCATAGAAATATGAAGAAAACTATAAAACCTTATTTAAGGACATAAGCCAAAATCCAAGCAAAAGGAAAACTGTGTTCTCAGATGGGAAAATTTCATATCCTAAAAAGGTCAATTTTCCTGAAATAAACATATAATGCAATTCCCATTAGAATCCCAACAAGTTTTGGTGTTTTTGTGTTTATAAATTGGGTAAAATTATAATAAATCTTATAGAAGAATAAATGCCCAAGAATAACCAATAATTGTTTAGAAAAAGAATCAGTGGCCCTACTGCCTTGCTAGATATCAGAAAACATACTATAAAACGGCTGGGATCAGATCAGTATGGCTTGGTATGTGGAGTAGAATGGTAGACAAACAGTAGAAGAAAGGAATGAATCCAGAAATAGATTTCAGTATATAGGAGAATGTATTTATGAATAAAGTTGGCATTTCAATTTAAACAGGAATTTAAAAAAAATTTTTTTTAATAAATGAAGCTAGCACAACTGGAAAAATAAAATTGTACCCCCAATTTACACCACACAAAAAAATAATAAACCAGATAAAGTCTCTTGAAAATCAAAATGAAATTTAAATCCTGCAAAAAAGTCTAAAAAATAGAGGTATACCCTAGTGACTGGGAAGACCTTCCTAATGAGACTGGAACCCCAGAAACTACTTAAGAACAACTAAGCATATTTGACTACATGAAAACAATGACTTTTTAATGGCAAAAGATACCCCCAAAATCAAGAGGCAAACAATAGCATGGGGGAAACTGGGCAATCAGAAAATAGTTCTACAATTGTCAGGGAGCTCTAAGAAAGTAACAAGAAGGGAATAACAACCCAATAGGAAAATGGAATATTATATAGCCATTCAAGAAATGAAATAGAGCTCTATCAGGTCAAGTACTTACACAAGAAATTATTGAGAAAAGCATGATACACAAAAGTGTATAATCAGATTTTGGAATAACAATGACCAAAAAACAATGATCCTTATGTGTATGAGCTGGGTATGTGTGTTTATCATTTATGATAAAATTGTGTATATATGTATGCATATATATTACAACTGTTTTAAGACAAATACTAAGACAAGTCATTGCAAAAAAGAGACAGACATAAATAAGCCCCAAGAAGAAAATAAAAATTAGCTATATGTAAACTTATCCTCTTCCCCCATAGGTAAATAAACATTGCAGTATAAACATTGCATCCTTGTTTCTATGCATGTGTGTGCATGGTTTTTTTAACACCAAATTAGGATCATACATTTCATATTGCTACGTTTCTTCTAGTCAAGTTTCTCGTCTGTCCCTAGGCTTTTGCTGATGCTCTTCTCTCACCCCAAACCATCCCATCCTTTAAACCCCAACTTAAATGCTGCCCCCTCTAAGAAACCTTCCCTTCAAACCCCCAGCAGAAAGTGGTTGACTGCTCTGAATTTTATCATCAACAGCTCTCTCCCCTTTCTTGAAGCAGGTTTAAGTCTACCTTGTATGAGAGTTCCTGTGTGCTCCTCACTTCTCCTGTTAAACTGGGAGCTCCTTGAGGGCAGGAACTCTGTCTCTTTCATAAGTGTATCTTCACGGTGCCTAGAATGCACATAGTAGGCATTTTATAAGCATCAATGTAAAATGGATGTAGGCCTCCTGCCTCTCTAATATTGAGTGATCTCAAGATTTGGAAAAAAAAAATCTGATTCTGACTCATGGCAACTCCATGTGTTTCAGAGTAGAACTGTGCTCCCTAGGGTTTTCAATGGTTATGACTGTTTGGAAGTAGATTGCCAGACCTTTCTTCCAAGTCACCTCTGGGTAGATTCAAGCCCCAACCTTTCAGTTAGTACCTGATTGATTAACCATTTATGCCGCCCTGGGACTCCTGATTTCAAGATATTGTTGCTATTGTGGGGCCATTAAGTCAATTCTGACTCATAGCAACCCTATAGAACCAAGTAGAACTTCCCCATAGGGTTTCCTAGGCTGTAATCTTTATGGGAGCAAATTGCCAGGCCTTTTCTCCAGTGGAGCAACGGGTGAGTTTGCATTTCTGACCTTTTGGTTAGCAGCCGAGCACTTAACCATTGTACCAGCAGGGCTCCCTGATCTCAAGACAGTATGCACTGAATTAGCATAATCAAAGGAGCGACCTAAGAGGTAGCTACCTAGACTCTGGAAGGAAGAGATCAAAGGTGGGGAGCCATCCCCAAGGCCTGAGTAACCCCCAGGATCGCCCAAATCCACCATCCACCCCCTTCCCAGGGCTCTTCCAAATACTCAAAAAGGAACAACCCACACACAGCGTTCTGTGTATGATATATATCTTTATATATAATTGCTCTCATTTTATTGTACTTTATCCTTTTTACAGTAGATCTGACACAGGCATTAAATAACTGCAGAGAGAGACCCCTGGGGGAAGGGGGGACCGGAAAACTGTGGGACCCAAAGGGAAGAGGCACAGAGCCAGCAAGAGAGAAAAGGGCAGGATCCATCTGTGGATGGGGTGGGGAGCCTGCTGCAGCATTTAAAAAGAAAAGGGAGGGAAGAGAGGGTGAGGAAGTGAAGGGAAACTGGAGGAGAAAGAGTTAAAATGCCTCTATTACTAAGCATACTCAGAGCAGGAGGCCCCTCATTTAACATTCTATGGGCATCATGGGGTTTCAAAAAAAGGCAGAGGGGTCTGAAGGAGATGGAGATGGAGCCAAGAAATTCAGAGCCTGGATCAAGGCGGGGGTATTTGAAACTGTCAGGCTGGCATGCGGAGGAAAGAGAGGGAGTTAGTGATTCGTTGGTAACTTGCTAAGAGAAGCCAGAGAGAGGGTGGTGGGGGCAGATCTGGGCCCAGGGGAAGGAGGTGGAATAGTCCCATAGCCAGCTGATGTTTCCAAGGTGGCCACTGGGGACAGAGCCAAAATGGCTGTCCCTCCCCCAGTGCTCTCTGGGAAATAGAACTTGAAGGATATTCTGGGAAAGCTAATAGGGGGAAGGGAGACATTGGTAGAAACAAAGTGAATACTCAGCCTAGATCAACTCCACCCCTCTGAGTAGTGGCTAAGGGGGGTGCTGGGAAGGATCGGGAAGGAATTGGAGTGGGGGGCCCACTAGAGAATGTTCAAGAAGAATCAACGCAGCCTTCTCTTCCATTCTCTCCCATGGGAGGAAACCTCATTTCCCAGCTCACGCAGTCACCACAGGGTGAGAAGCAGAAGTGGAATGTGTAAGCAAATAGGGAAAGGGCCACAGAACTACCTTGTCCTCAATTAAAAATGGTCTCACTTCAGGGAAGGGAATAGGGAGGGAGAGGAAGTGAAGATCTGCCAGAGGAACTAGTGAAATCAAAAGCCACTGTGTAGGTGACGGTAAAAGTGTGGGGGTGACCGAAAGGCAAGAGGCTGAAGCTTAGGAATGGAAGTACCAATACCACATTCATCTCTGGGAAGCCAAAGGTTGGGCGTTTTCACAGCTCTCTGGGGATAGGAGATCAAGAGAGGTGGGTAGCTGTGAGGACATCCCATTCACAGCTAAGTCAAAGTGAGAAAGGCTTCTAACTCCTCTGTGGCCATCTTGATGGAGCTAGAGTTGGGAGAAGAAGCTGGAAAATGGGTGCAGCCAGGGAATCACAGTGGACACCAGGCTGGATTGGGAAGTAAAGGAAAAGGGGTGAGGCTTAGACAAGTCATAGCTCTGTTATAAAAAATACCTTTGGGGTGGGTGAGGGAAGGATCAGGCAGGGTCAGGGACCTTCCAGAAGCATCCATGGGAAAGAGGTAGGGGCGGAAGGAAGGGGCCTCAGGTTTTGTTGATACGGAGTTTGAAGGCCACGCGGCCAGCAAACTTGTCTCGCTCATCATCTGTGGCGATGTTGGCAGCGTTGATGCGGCATTCCACGTTCACCTCCACATTGGGGGTCACATTCAGGAACTTCACGGCCACCAAGGGCTGTGTGTAGTTCACCTGGGCCAGAGAGGGAGAGTGAGGGTCTAGGTCTATGGCAACCCAACCTCTTCCCGAAGAACTGCTCCCCTCAAGGATCCACTATCCCAGCCTCCCATGGGACTTACATGGAACTTTTTGCCGTAGTATGGGAAGTACATGAGGTCGATGTTGCCATTGGCAGGGAACATAACAAAGCTGCCAAGGTTCTCAGCATCTTCATCTCGCTGTGGGGGTGCGGAAGTGTAAGGAGGAGAGCATGTTAGGGATGGCAGGGAGCTGGAAGCTCAGGGTTCCCCACACTTCTCTTTGTTCTTCCTTTGCTCCTAAATTATTCCTTCCTCAAATCTGTGTCCGCTGAGCTGTGAGTCTGCGTGTGTGCAGGAGGGGGGATGTTCTGTCTCTCTCATCAGACTAGGAACTCCTTAAGGGTGCTACTGCCACTAAAACCTCCTACACTACTCCCACCCCAAGCTCTTACCCCATCGTCAGGAATCAGTTTCTGGAGCAGATCCAAGAGAGAAGAGATGCATGAGTAAGGGCTCAGTAGGAAGCAAAAAGGGTTGTGAATGGAGAAGGGGAGCAAGTTCCTAGAGAGGACAGGGGTAGGGGGAGCAGGGCTCCAAGGCCCTGTCAGTGGAGGCGCGTGCTAACAAATCAGCAGCTACCAGATACCTAAAGAGAACTGAGGAGCAGGTGAAGACGTGGATAACCAGTGAATAAAGAGAAGATGGAAGGGTTAGGGAGAGAAGCCTGAGGCCAGGACTTTGGCAGAGGAGGGGGAGGTGTCTCTATCCACACCAGCGCAGGCTTCACATCCTAGAGAGAAGCAAGAAGGGTGGGGGCACATTGGAGTTCAAGTGCTATGGGAGCCCACTCTTACCCCCTTGTCCCTATAGTGACAGGGCCTCTGGGAGCAAAGAAGACAGGAAGAGATGAGTGAATTACATGAAAACAATGAAGGACAAATAGGTGGACGGGTGGACAAGGTCCCCAAACTCACCTTCCCTGCACAGGTAACATTCATGCTTTGATTTGCTCCTGCATAGAAGTTGATGACCTGGAGTGAAGGGGGAGGGTGGTAAGGGTTAGAGGAAGCAGTTATCAAAGACACAGCTATCCAGTCTTCTAGCTACAGATCTTATTCTCCATTGGCCCCACCTCTCTTATTCTCTCAAATATCCAAAAATCTCTCTAATCTTTATTAACCAACCAGTTGCCTTTGAGTTGGCAATCCCATATGTGTTAGAGTAGAACTGTGTTCCACAGGGTTTTCAGTGGCTGATTTTTTCAGAAGTAGCTGGCCAGGGCTTTCTTCTGAGGGCACATCTGGGTGGACTAGAACCTCCAACCTTTCAGTTAGCAGCCAAGTGCATTAACCGTTTGCACCAGCCAAAAAAAAAAAAAAAAAACAAACCCATTGCCGTCAAGTCAATCCCGACTCATAGTGACCCTACAGGACAGAGTAGAACTATTCCATACAGTTTCCAAGGGGCGCCTAGTGGATTTGAACTGCCGATCTTTCAGTTAGCAGCTGTAGCTCTTAACCACTAAAGCACCAGGGTTTCCGGGGACTCCCTAATCCTAATTAGCCCCAGGGGAAAGAAGCAACTGTCAGCAGAGCTGGTGGCCCCAGACCCCTCCTCTGCTCTCCCTCAGGACCAAGGTCATTTGTACCCTGTTCATCTTGATGAAGACACAGGGCTGCCCAGTGCTGTAACCATAGTGAGTGGGATCTCCGATGCCAGAACAGTCACCCAGCTGTGTCCGGTTGAATTGGCAGGCACGTTTTGGGTAGTTGAGGACTCCGTTATCAGGTTGTTCATAATAACGTCCAGGGCGGCAGACATCATTCTTTTGGGCTTGGATGGAGTCATTATAAGCTACAGAGGTGGAAGAGAGAGAGTCATAGACCTGATGTCCTGCCTCTAGGGACCCCAATCCCCTGCTCAAGGTCCTGAACGGTTATACAGCCAGCCCCACACTCACGCTCCAAGAACTTGTTGAGTTTCTGAACATGCTGGTCCCAGCTTTCCGTGTCGCTGATGTTGACAATGACATCAAGGTTCTCAGTCTTGGGGCGAATCATCAAGCCTAGACAAGGGCAAGGGCATGGGGTATATGTGAACTGAGGGACCACATACAGAGGGAAGAAGGTGGACATAGGGAACACCAGGGTGAGGGATGGGGTGAAGATCTTCATGGAAGGAGATTTCTATGAACATCTGCCATCTCCCCAGAACACAGCTTTCAGGTGCATGAAATGGAAAGGAAGGAAAACTTCAAAAAGAACTTCCCAGCATAGGTGATTGGTTTATCAGAACCAAACACCTTCCTGTGAGTTTTCTTAGCCTGTGAGTTCCTTTTGGAGGTTTAGAGGGCAGGACAGTGGTTAGCACTTCCTCACTCACCCGGTGTGGCCAGTCGGTCCTGGTACTTGGGGGTATGGTCAGAAACAGTCTGGAGCATCACCCACATGGTGAGGGTGAACATGGCCGTGAGGAAGCCATAGAAGACAAGGTAGAAGAGGAGGATAAAGGCTAGGGTAGAGGAAATAGGGTCAATAAGTTCCAAGTCTCCCACCATGACCTCACCTACCCCCACCCACCCTTCTACCTCCTCAGAAGTTCTGCTCTGGAATGTCCACAGGGACTTCCCAAAGCCCTCCCCTGGGAGCAAAATGAGACAAGCTGGAAACAGAGGCAGTTTTGCCTAGCTTCCAGCCATGACTCCCAGCCCCCTCCTGGTCCTAGGGCACAGTGAAGTGCAACCGTATGGTGGCCACAAGAGACTAAACTCTCGTTGCTGGGGCAACCCCAAGTATAGGCTGAAGTAATTTTGCCTCAAATCACATTCCCAACTTTATCATCTGTGGCCCTGAAATAGGCACAACATCTGTTACCACTACCTTGGTGCTCGTGCTTAAAACTCCCACCCCAGTGACTTTTTCTGCTGGCAATGGCCACTCACAATCAAGCTCTTATACCATCCTTCAGAGCCTGGACCCTCACAGCATGGATTTGTACACCACACTCAAATAGCAAAATCTTCTCTCTCCTGGTCCCCAATAGAAGCCAAACCTTGAACACAGCTTCTGAAATGAAGGATCTTACACTCCAGCCTGGCTACAAAATCTAAGACGGATAGCTATGCAGTGCCTTCAACAGTCACACCCCAACTCACACGCAGCACCCAGGATAGAAGCAGGGCTTGCTGTGGAATCTCCCACAGGCCTTCCCCAACCTAGTTAGGTCCTTGTGGATGGACGTCTGACACCATCACTCCATCACTCACTCAGCCTAGTGGAAGCGCCTGCTGTTTCCACCTCCCCCCACCCCTCCCACCTCAGACTCCCAGTCCTTCCATCTCAGAAGACACTTCCTCAAGGAAGTATCTTCAAGTTCTCCCAAGCATTCTGAACCCCACAGATCCCAGGGGCTGGACTAAGGGCAAAAACCACATTGGACCTGCCTCGTGGGTTCCTAGGCAGGTGGGCTGATGAGGACAGTGTTCAAGCAGTGTTGGATGAATTGTAAACTGTGTCACACTGTGTCCCCTGCGCTTCGACTTTTCGGCTTGACAAGCCCTCTTGGAAGAATTCTACCCCTCCCCTGCATTGCCCATCCCCAGACCCCGGCCCTTGCACAACTCGCTCCGCAGGCCCTGAATCCCGCCATAGTATTGGGTAGGGAACATCCTGAGCCACGAGTCACCCCAACTCCAGAGGCACACCTGGCAGATGATGTGCATATCTCACCACCACTGACCCCTCCTCCCTCCCCCGCCGACATGCGAGCAGAAGAACATCCAGGCTCTGACACCTCATACTACCCCCCTCCCCACCAGCCCCCCACCCACAAAGCAGCCACAGAGGGCTCCCAACGCTCGGCGGTGGTATACAGATAACTGTGACCAGCCACCCTCCAGCACCCTGCCTCCCACCTTTCCAAGACCCGCCCCCTCGTGAATGTTCCCAGGTTCCAGAGGGTGGGCACGAGCTAAAAATAGACGGGCTTGGCGAGCTATCCAGAGCCTGGGGGGAGATAAGGGGGGCTCTCAAAGCCGGGAAGCCGGTGTGAAGCGGTCAGACCCGGGAGGGAGCGCGAGCGCCGCGGCGCGGACACGCGCGCAGAGCCCGCGACCCCCCGCCTGAGGGGGCTCCGCGGGGGGCGGGAAGGAGGCCGCGACCTACTTTCTCCGCCTCCGCAGCGGCCAGCAGGGGAGATTAGACTGGTGATCGGCCCCCTCCCAGCCCAGAAACCGGCAGGGGGGCTGGACACCGGGACCCGGGAGGGGGCTAGGGCCGCGCCAACCGAGCCCTGCGCCCGCGAGGCGTGGCCCAGCGTCCCCCGGCTCTCGCGCGCCCGCCCCGCGTACCCCAGCTGGTCCCGGTGCGGCCCATAAACTGGTGCGTTCTCGGGTTCCACACGAACTCCTTCCACTCCTCAACCACCTGCCCGCAGCTCTTCTTCTCTTTCCGGATGACCATCTTGGCAGCGCGGCGCGAGTCCCTGCGCGGGGCGGGGGCTGCGGAGAAGCGGGGGCGCCGCGCGCTGAAGCCCCCCACGCACCAGAACCCTCGCGGAGCAAAGGCGGTGGGGCTGAGGGAGACTCCCCTCAGATATGCAGCTGCTGCAAATTCCGAGGTGCACAGCCACGCGCTGCGGGGTGCTGGCAGCGCGGCGGAAGATGCACTGATCCTAGGCCCCCCGACTGCAATGAAAAGGGGGGTTGTCAGGGCAGGGTAGGATAAAAAGGGGCAGGGGTACGAATGCAGCTTCACCCCAAACAGCGTAGAAGCAAAACGTAAAGAGGTGCAAAAATAGACGGCTACAAAACCAGAGCTAAACGAAGAAAAAAGCGGGGAGCAAAGAGGCGGGGAGAGGTGGGGGAGGGGGACGCCCCGAAATCCGAGATGCAACGAGGCTGTGGAGTAGGGCCAGCCACTGCTCAAGGCTCTTCCGCCGATCAGAGACCACCGCACCAGCTCGGCCGCGGGGGTAGGGTGGGGACGCGCAGTTAGGGTACAGCCAAGGATGGGGGTCCCCCAGGTCGAGGCTCCGCTCCTCAGCAGTGCGCGGCCGGCGGCCGAGGCCAGCCGCCTTTATACTCGGCGGCCCTGTGGGTGCCCGCCCCCTTCCCACCCCCAGAAGCCCCGCCTCCTCGTCTCTGGCCCAGACAACCTCGTACATATGCAGTTATGGAGAGAGCGATGGGGCCTGCCCCCTGCCACCTCTTTGGGACAAGGCAGTCTCTCCCTTAACCTCGCCCTAGTTACCGAACTGCATAGGGGTGGGAAGAGAGGGTGAGGGGCGTGTCCGTGCGGAGTAGAGGGAAGGATAACCCCAGAAAAACTCAGAAACCCAGGGGGAAGCCGATATATGCTATGCTCAGAGGTGGGGGGCCTCAGGCAGGGAGTTGGAAAGAGAGGACACTGCTACAGCGAAAGAGTCCAGGAGACAAGCAGGGCCGAATGTGAGAGGAATAGAGAAGAGCCAGAGTCCAAGACAGACTGGGGCCTAGAGACCAGCCTGGATGCAGGAGATGGAGGCTAGAGCAGGCACCCAGGGAAGAATCTCTGAGATGACAGAACCACCACAAGAGGGAAGTTCCTGTCACGGGAGCTGCTTGCAGTCCTCCCAACACCACCTGCTCCAGTCCCGCAGCCCCTTCTCCTCACCATCTGGTCCTCTGCACAGCCGGCTTTCCCACCTCCTCTCCTCCTGATACCAGGCTTCCCAAGCCTTTCTTGGTGAAGCCCTCCCAGCACCACCTGCGAGTGCCAGCATTGCCCTGAGACCCTGGCCCTGCAGCCAGGTCTGCTTAGGTGTTCTGCCTGCCTCCACCCTCCTCGTGTCTGAACTCCCCTCCTCATGTGCCCATTTGGGTCAACAAACATGAGCATCTACGAGGGACCACGTGCGGCACTAAATCCATGGGACAAAGGTCGAGGCTCTCATATGGTTCGAGAGACTCACAGTCTAGTAGAAAGTCAAAGAGTCTCTAAATGCCATGTGTTAACAGTCATTCTCTCTCTCTTTTAATCTCTCTTTAATCTTGTCACTAGTCCTTGGAGAGGCCTTTCTTCTCCTTTCAACTCTCACTGTAACTCCTTGGCCCTAGACTCAATAATTCACATCTAGACTATCACCCTAGCCCTCAGTTTCCCTCTCTCTCTCTCTCTGTCTCTCTCTAGGCTTCATGGGTGGGTGACCTATGCAGTTGCATAAGGACCCATGCTCAGAATGGCCCTATGCTTGGTTTAATGCTCTGCTGTTGCTGCCTTGAAATTTGTAATACTTTTATCTTTGAGCTTGGTTTTCTAAGTAAAGTCCAAAGGGACAATAGAGTGCGTGTGTGAGCAGAAGAGATACGCACAATAAGCTGTTCTGTTCACACAGAGTGTTTGAGATGCTCCGTGAGCACAGAACTCTGGGAGTTCAGCAAGACCCAAAGTGAGTTCAAGGTAAATACATTATGTCTACAACTGAAAAAGTGGGCTTGCTGACAGCTGAGAGGTCACAGTTTCCATTTGAACCAGAACGTGCTTTGGACACAGAAGAAGACAATGGCGTTCTAGGAAATACAGATGATCAAGACACCCTATCATATCCTTTCTTGGTCAGGTTGCTTCCCTGTACTGACCAACCACTTACTCTGCAAATGACGGAGAAAGAAAGGGAAAGATGGGGCAACCATAGTTCTTTACTTAGATGGACATTAAATAGCAAATTAAAAACACCATCGCAAGTTGAGAAAAGGACCATGGAAGAAAGGAAAGCATTTTATATATTAGAGCCTTTAACAGCAGTTTTTCTCTGCTTTTTGAACAAGGGGCCCTGCATTTTTCATTTTGCACTAAAACCAAAACCAAACTCACTGTCATTGAGTCAATTCTGACTCATAGCGACCTTATTGGACAGAGTAGGACTAGCCCATAGGGTTTCCAAGGAGCAGCTGGTGGATTTAAACTGCCAGCCTTCTGGTTAGCAGCCAAGCTCTTATCCACTTTGCCACCAGGTCTCCACATGTTGCACTAGGTCCCGTAAATTGTGCAGCTGGCCCTGCGTCAGGTCAGTCTATTCTGCAGCAGACACTTCGTTAATCTTCTCAAAAGACAGCTTTAATTAGCCCTTTCCTCAGCTCAAAGGTCTTCAATGGCCTTCCATTACCCTGCAGGATGAAGTCCTGATTCTTCTTCAGTCTGACATTCAGGGTACTCCACACTCGAGACCCAGCCTGCATTTCCAACCTCCTTTCCCACTAGTTCCTCACCACTCTCCAGCCGGAGTTGAGTCGACCTCTTTCAGGACAGGCTGTGCTTGCTCCGGACTTCACACCTTTGTGCATTTCATTCCCCTATCCTGGAAGACCACCTGCCCTTCAGAGTCCAGCCCCAACCCTTGTTCATTCATTCACTGCATGTCTAATGAGTATTTGATTAGAGCCAGGAACTATTCCAAACCCTGTGCTTCTGGGGCTCCCATCCCAGTAGACAACAAAAATAAACAAACTAATAAAATAATGTTAATACTATGCAGGAAAATAAAACAGGGTAATGTGATAGAGAGAGCCTGGGGAGTCAGGGATGGCCTTACTGAGGAGGTGAATTTTAATGTGAGACCTAAATGACCAGAAGTGATTGACCACTGACCAAATGGTTGGCAGCTCGAATCCACCAATCACTCCTTGGAAACCCCACGGGGCAGTTCTACTCTGTCCTATAGGGTCGCTGTGAGTTGGAATCGACTTGACAGCCATGGGATTGGCTGGTTGGTAAATGACCAGAACGAGTGATCGGGAGATGTGGAGGAAGAGCCTTCCAGAAAGAAGGAAGTGCATGAGGGAAGGCTGGGATTTAATGAAGAAGCCACAAAAAAAAAAAAAAAAAAAAAGAACCTGGAGCCATCTAGTCAATTCTGATTCGTGGTGACCCCATGTATTATAGAGTAGAACTGCTCCATAGAAGCAGATAGCCAGGCCTTTTCTTCCATGGTACCACTGGGTGGGTTGGTACTCAAACCAAACCAAATCTACTGCCGTTGAGTCGATTCTGACTCATAGTGACCCTATAGGACAGAGTAGAACTGCCCCCATAGGGTTTCCAAAGCTGTAATCTTCTTTTTTTTTCTTTTTATTATTTATTATTGTACTTTAGATGAAGTTTTACAGAACAAACTAGTTTCTCATTAAACAGTAAACATACTGTTTTGTGACATTGGTTACCAACTTCACATGTCAACACTCTCCCCTTCTTGACATTGGGTTCCCTATTACCAGCTTTCCTGCCCCCTCCTGCCTTCTAGTCCTTGCCCCTGGGCTAGTGTGCCCCTTTAGTCTCATTTTGCTTTATGGGCATGTCTAATCTTTGGCTGAAAGGGGAACCTCAGGAGTGACTTCATTACTGAGCTAAAACGGTGTCCGGGAGCCATAGTCGCGGGGTTTCTCCAGTCTCTGTCAGGCCAGTAAGTAAAGCTGTAATCTTTATAGAAGCATACTGCCACATCTTTCTTTTGTGGAGTGGCTGGTGAGTTCAAACCTTTTGGTTAGCAGCCAAGTACTTTAACCACTGTGCCGCCAGGACTCCTTGGATGGATTGGTAGTCAAGTGCAAACCGTTTGTGCCACCTAGGGACCTTTACTGAGAGAAGAAAAGGTTAATACATTACGAACTCCAAGAGTTATCATACATACATACCCTATAGGGTTTCCAAGGCTGTAAATCTCTACAGAAGCAGACTGCTACGTCTTTCTGTTAGCAGTCAAGCACTTTAACCACTGAGCCACAGGGCTCCTTCCAAGAGGTAGGCAGGGGCCAAATCATATAGGTCCTTGTAGACCAAAGGGAGAGGTTTGGATTTTAATCTAACCATCATGAAGAAATTCTAGGGTTTTAAGCAGAGGAGTGACATGATGAAATTTTATGAAAATCACTGTGTCTGCTGTGTGGAGGGTGGACCATGGGAAGCAAGGAGACCAGTTGCAGCAGTCCAGGCAGGAGATGTGGATGGCTTAGGCCAGGGTAGCAGGTTTGAAGATGGAGCTAAGAGGCTGGGTTCCAGATCTATTTCGGAAGTAGAGTGGCGTGGATATGGGGGATGAGATAAAGAGATAAATCAAGGCTGATGCCTAAGTTTTTGTCTTGAGAAACTGGATTGTTTGTGTTTTATTTTATTTTTTTTGAAAAACTGGATTGTTTGTGTTTTATTTTTTCAACAAGATTGTAAGAATTTTGAGAGTAGCCCTTGTTTTGTACTTCTTACATATCCTCTGTCTTAGTCATTTAGTGCCGCTATAACAGAAGTATCACAAGTGGATGGCTTTAGCAAAGAGAAATTTATTGTCTCACAGTCTAGTAGGCTACAAGTCTAAATTTAGGGCACCGGCTCCAGAGGAAGGCCTTCTCTCTGTTGGTTCCAGAGGAAGGTCTTTGTCATCAGTCTTCCTTGTCTGGGAGCATCTCAGCACAGGAACCTCAGGTCCAAAGAAT